GTTAGGCTTTCTCTAGGCTTGTGTGTGTGTGGCAAGATCCTAATGGAATTTTTTTTTTAATTTCATTAGCTTTATGGGAATAGCACTGGGATGGGAGAATATGAAAACTTTTATTTGAGTGACGACAACCATCCACACTAGTGTATTTAGCATCCTTATTAACTGGTTACATGGAGGGAGGGATTTAGTAAAGAAGATTTTCTTTTCTTGGGTTGGCTGTTAGAGTGATAAAACATTCTTGCAGGGGCAGTCTGGTCTTAACAGTTTCTCACATCAGCCAAGATACCCCAAAGGCAGGAATTATCATTCACTTGTCTTATTTGCTGAGATGCTGACTGAGAGAAAGGAGCTCAGCATGTTAACTTTTTTAGCATATTACCTATTTTCCCACATCACAAAGCTTTTAGACATACAAATCACAACACCCATACAAGAGAGTGGAGTCATATGACATTTCTGCTCCCTCTTAGAAATAAGGGAGAAGATAGAAAAGAAAGAGTGAATTGGTTTTCACAGAAGGCCGGTGAATGTCTCTATCATTGTTTCAGAATGATCATTTTTCCTGTTTGGGGAGTTGTGGGAGTTTGCTGAAAAATGTCTCCTCTTCTCAGAAGGATAATGTTACACTGAGGAGTGCTACCAGGGAATTTATGGGTAAGAAAATTGAACAGAAGTAGTGTAAAGCTACACAGAGCAAATACTGTCTGTTTTACTCAGGGAGGAGGCATTACATTCTAATAGAACCACCGTGATGGTTCATATTGTTTTCTTCTTGATGAATACACCATACTTACATGAGTCTGACCACAGGTACCCAAAGTCAAGGTCAGTCCAAGGGACTCCCCAGACCACAGAGCTCCAATTTCTGGCTCCTTCAAACCAGCCAGACTTGTGCTCTTTTGTGTCCCAACTAGAGTAAATGAAGAAATCAAAAAGGGTTTCAGTTCAGGATGCAGGAACCGTGGAAAAGAGATACATAGCTCGGGTCTCCAAGAGGCCAAGAATGTTCCAGAATGTTTTGTTTTCTTGAAGTGTAATATATTTTTTTTAAATATAATGAAATTTTAATTCCACACCATGAGTGCGCCACATGCCTGCTGCTGTGTCCGTTCTTATGCTGGATTATTGTTGAAAGACTGACTTGTTGTTTTGAAATTTTGTATTTTTCTTATAAAGCTTACCCTATTTTTGAAAATTACACTATTAATGAAAATTTTCCTTTTACTTATTCAGCAAACATATATTAGTAAAATATGTAAATGTGTTATATAATTGTATTACCAAATTCTGGAATATGAAACTATTAACTCTTTTAATCTTCATAATAACACAGTGAGATGCCTTTACTACTGTTAGTCCCATGAGTTAGTCTCAGTAAAGTGAGACTAAGGTACTCAATAATTTACCACAACTACATAGTTGATATATACTTGGAATCTAAACGTGGGAAATCTGATTCCAGATTACTTTCTCTTCACCACTAGTAAAATCTGTAAGAATATAAACACCATTAAAAATATTCAGACAACTATAAATGTGGGTTTTTTTCATTTTTAATCCTTAACATAAGCTTCCCATTACAAATTCTAGCCTTTATATTAAGTTTTTTGATACAGGAAATATTTAAGTTCCGTTGGTGTTGTGCAGTGCTCTGTGGGACACCTCCGCCTGGTGAGCAGCCATCCAGGGTTGCCAGGGACTTCGAGGGTTCCTGGGACACAGACTTTCAGAGCTAAAACTGAGAAAGTCTGGACAGAAGAGAATAATGAGTTGGTCCCCCACACATTTCCCCTGCCCACTCCTGCAGGGGCGGACCCCCAACTTGTCTCCAGGTCACCTCCGCAGAAACGCAGTGAGCATCCTTGTATGTGCCTCTTTCGCACCCCCTTAAGCATTTCTCTGAGCTGTGCACCAGGCCCTGGGATCACTGCCTCATGGTGTCTGCAGCTTGACCCAGCACTGTCCCTGGCAGTTTGATGATTCTGGTGCCCACATCCTCATCCCCGGTGTTTCCCACTTGCTGTTCCCCCAGTCCAGCCGTGATGTCTCGTTTTTGTTTTAATTTACATCTCTCTGATACTAGTGGATTTGAGCATCTCTTGATTAGCCTTTGACCTTTTAGTTTACTCTTTTGTAAACTGTCCCTATTCCCTGTCCTTTTCCCAACTGCAAAGCCTTCATTTTTCTTACTGATTTGCAAAATCTTCTTTGTACATTCTAGATATCGATCAATATTTTAGACACGCAAAATACCTACCCCCAGTCTGTTGTCTGTTTATAAATGAGTCTATGGTGCCCCTTCATTGGCCAAAAATGCTTAATTCTTAGATGCTTTCAAATTTTGTTGAAAGAAGCCCTCCCTACTAGGTTACCAGCTGAGGTGTATTGCGTACGTGTACCAGTTCCCCACAGTGAGTGTAATCATCATGGACTGCAGATGGGGACTAACAAAAACCCATATATATTCTACAGTATGTTTACAATCTTATATTCAATTTTGTATCTTGCTTTTTTTAAAAAAACAAGTGAAACTTATAATGATTTTTCCATGTTGTTAAATAGTCTTATACATGTTGTAATGGCTGTTTAGTGTTCCATTATGTTTGGGTACTGCTCTTTCTTTAACCATTTTCTTGTCGTGGGCCATTTGGGCCCCCTAGTTTCATGTTCCAGTCATTAGCTCTGACATGACTGTCACTATGCAAAATTTCTTGTGTTGTTTAGAATATATGTTTAAAATGCTTTCTCAGGAGTAAAATCCCAAATCCAGGAATATGAACTCCTGTTAAATGTACTCCTGGGCACAGGTAGTCAAATGGTTTCCCAAAGAATTGGAAAAAGAGTACACTTTTCACAATGTCTGCTGCACTGTAAAGAACTACCTTCTTCACCATTCGCACTGTAGCACTAAGAATGATGTCTTAACAATTTTGCTCATGTAATGCGTAGAATATGGCCTTTTATTGTTTGATCTTTATTTCTTTGATAGCTTGAAAGTGAACAGTTCATTCATATTGGCTGATCAGTTGTGAAAGTATTTATGAGTGGAATGTTTGGATCTTTTGCCTGTCTGCCCATTGAAATCATGCACAAGCTTTGGAGGAATCGGAAAGAGAAGCGCTAAAGTTTTTCCATTCTCTGAGGTGTTTTCTTACACCTTTAATCTTGCTAACACGCCTTTAATCTTGCCCCAAAACTTGTGTGGGAATATTTTTTCTGTTCATTCTATGTAAAGTGTACTGTTGTAGACATATAAAGAATATTATGATTTTGTTTTCGACTGTGAGCATGCTCTGTGCATAGATCTGCATTTGATCTCTCTTGGGGTCATAAATTCCTGAAGGGCTGCTTTAAGTCTTTAGAAGCGGTTACGCACCCTTGCTGTGGTGTGTTCATAGCATCTGTGAAATGATCCTACCAGCCAGGGGTGATCCAAGCACCACACAGGCTACCTTGAGGGTCCTAATGAGAAACAAGAAGAGTTGTAAGGGTGGTAGGTTGGTTGTGTCAGCATGCCCTTGTTTTAATTAAAGAAAAAGCCCAGCACTTTGAGAAGCCCAGACAGGAGGATCATAAGTTTGAGCCCAGCCTGGGCAACTTAGTGACTTAGGTAGACCTTCTCTCAAAGTAAAAAATAAAAAGGCATGGCTATGGATGTAGGTCAGCGAGATGACCCTGGGTTAAAAACCCCAGTACGAGAGAGACTGGGGAGGTGGGGAGACCGAACCCTCATCAACCCAAATGGCACCTCCCCTGTTGATAAGTGGGTCACTGTCCTCTAATCAGGCCTAAAGGCTTCCAGTTGTAAGAAGCAGCAGCTCTCGAGGAGGAAGACATGCAAGGCCAGGGATCAAAAGTCCAAATAATTGGTTCTGTGTTTTCCATGATTTAATATTTGTGGAAGGAATCCTGGGGCATGTCCTCTATTAATCCTCTTGTTTTCTCCATCAAACACAGAACAGTGAAATCAGTAATAACTGACATTTCTGAAGGATTTTAAAACGTTGTGGATGGACCTCCTCATTCAGTGACTCTCTCTTCCCAGTGGCCTTGAGAAGGGGACAGTGATGTCCATGCCCCACGGTGGAAGAAGCAGACACAGTGCAATGTAGCATCAGGAGGCAGCAGAGCTTTCTCTCCACCAAAGTGTGGAAGTAAAAGCCCAGCATTGTATTTTTAAAATCACGTGATGCTCCGGGAAAACAATCTGTTGATTGAGAGTTATGAAGTGTGGAGAAAGAAGGAAAAGATAAAGAATCAAGGAAATGTGGGAGAATCATAAAAGGACCACATAGGCCACCGAGGAAAGCGTCACTGAATGAGGAAAAAAAATGGAAGGGTATAGATTAAATCAGATTATAAAAAAACTTGATTTTTTTTCCAAGTACTAAGAAATATTTTATCATTTTTCATTATTCACTTACCATTTTCCCATTTACTACAAAAGTCAACAATGCAGTACATCCAGCTCTGGACACTGTACCATGTATTTAAAATAAAAAAGATATGTGTTTGAATGCATCAGTTGTAAAGTCAGGTAAATAGGTGGATATATTTATATTGTTTTATGATTTCAACAGCCCTTACTAAGAGCACTCTGGGGGGCTTTTCCCCACTTAATGTAAAAACAGAAAAGAACGTTGAATAAAGGAATTAAAGGAGATGCATTCAAAGCCTGTTGGTAGTGCCTGGGGTAGGAAAGTTCCCTGACGGTTGTCTTTGATGTCTAGGACCCTCTGGGGAGTCCAGTGAAGGTTAAGCCCCTTTTGCTTCAGGTATTAGAAAACTAAAAATGTGATAAGCCAACAAGCTCTGAAATCCCTCTAAGGTCAAAGAGCTTCTGCCCAAGTAGTGCATTTCAGATGCTTGTCTGGAAGATTGTAAAGGTGATGTTAAGGGCTAAAGGCATTTTGCTATAAGAACCCAGGCCGAGTGAGATTCTAGCTCATTTAGAACAATCTTGTGCCTCGCAAAAGGTTAATGTCATATTTGCATTTCAGGATTTTATGGACAGCTGCAGACATTCTGCCCCCCACATTACCCAGAATCCCAGAGAACTGTGCCCCCTGGCAGCTCCTGCAGTGTGGTCCCTTCCTTCGAGGACTGCCTAGTCCCCACATCCATGGGCCAGGCTGGCTTTGATGTGTTCCACAGAGCTTTCTCGACTCACTCAGGCGTTGCAGGTACGTGGGTGTCTGTGACTTAGAAACTCAGGCCCACTGGCCAGCAGGGCCAGATAGGTTTCCCACGACTGGCCTGGACTAGCCTTGACCTGGCGTGGAACTGTAGCGAATCCGTTGATCTTCTCTAATCCCTTCCTCCTCAGCCCTTCTTCAGCCCTGCCTCCCTGACCTGCTCCAGGCGCCATCATGTGTCTCCCAAATGATCGCAGTGGCCTCCTTGCCTCTCCACCTCACCTTTAACACTCTGTCCTCCATGCTACCCTGCGCATTGCTTTCCAAACCTAAGGGCTGAAATAGACCGCATTACTCCTCAAGTACGCTAAGCAGTTTCCAGTTGAGCAGAGAATAAACTTTTCTTGCCAACATCACGTTGAAGCCCCCTTGCCTTAGGACCGATCTGACTTCCCAGACCTGCCCGTGTGCTTTCTTCCTGTGTGTTCTTCTCCTGACCTTTGCCGGCACACTTGGCCCCACATGCCCCTCCCTCTCTGTCTTTGTACTGTTGACACCTTCTAAATTATGCTTTCCCAACCTCTGCATTTCTTTTATAATCCTGTTCCGTTTCATGATTGCTGTCACCTCCTTTTTGAGGCCTCTTTCATCCCTCCTTAAAATACTTTTCTCTTACTCGTACTAAGCTGGAGTTTTGGTGCTTCGTGCTGAGTCAGCCTCCTGCCCACTGGGTTCCCTGAGCACAAGACCTGCCTAAGGGCCAGCGCTTGGTGCACTGCATACCGGTAGATGTGAGGGCTACTTTCTGACTTTCTGTGTTCTTTCTCTTCCAGTGTATGACTTGCCTTCAACTTCCTCAAGCCTCTTTGGGGAGTCTCTTCGCAGTGGGCCTGAGGACACCACATTCTTACAGATCAGCGCCATGGACCGCTGTCCTAGCCAGCTTTCCTCCGTCTATACTGAAGGCTGAGAGCTCCACTGACCTCGGCTGCACACCCAGAGCGCTTTAGTTGCTTGCTGCCTTTTGTTTTTGGACCATCACAGGCTGCATGAAGAAGGGTGTGAACCGAATCAGCGGAGCTTGCAGGGTCCCTTTGTCTTGGGAAAGCAGGACTGGATGATCAGAGCTGGCTTGCAGCAGTGTTTGCACTTGCTCCTTTTTCTTGCTGGATGTGTTGGACCAATTGACCAGCATGACTGTCTTTTTTTTTTCAAAGGGAAGTTAGAGTCTCACTTTGCTGGATACCTGTTACTTCCTGGCTGTCAACCCTCAAAGGACACCAGTTGAGAGGATGTGCATATGAAAATGTGGTTTGGGTATGGCCTTTGCTGGAAACTCCAATGAGGGAAGAGCCCAGTTAGCAGAGGCACAGTGAGCTGCCTCTAACTCCAGGTGTTGCAGAGCCAAGAATAATGAGGGAAATCCACGTCTAAAGCGTAGTGTGGTCTCAGCTCTCAGAAATTCCTGGTTTTTCCCTCTTCTCTTAGGTGTTGTCACGCTAACCAATTGTAGTCAGCGTTTCCCCGCTGACAAGAGGTTTTCTACGTCATTTTTTAATTTTAGAGACTTGTTACTTACATTTGCTTTAAGAGGAAAACAATAACACTTAAAGTTTTGTTCTTTGGGTGGAAAGCATGATCGTTTTAGTCATCCTTACTATATATACACTTTGTCACAGCTGTGGCTCGGGTTGGCCCTACCTCTGGAATGTTAGGAATGCTTCCTTCTCAGCCTCTTCTTGACCTGTTTCAGACATGCCAGCCATATCCCATCATACCCTGCTCTCAGCTCTTAGGAGGGGAGAGGGAGTGGTTCCCAGAAGGTGGGCTGAAGAACACAACCTTTTTTTCCTGAAGCTTGTTTGAAGGCCTGAAATTATTCACAGAGCACTTGGCCATTGTATATCAAGCCTGAAGAGGAAGTCATTTCTATTGACAAGTAAAAAGGTCTTGTGTTCTAGGGCATAAAGTATAAAAATTGGCCAGGCCCCAAAAACTTAATCAGTTCCAACATTCTGGTACATTTATATTTCAGAGTTTATTTTTCTCTCTTTAAGAATGTTTTCTGAACAATAGTAAAACAATGCTATTTATCAAAATGAGATAATTACAATCTCCAGTAAGACAACTAAACAGCTTGGTGTCAGACTTGGGGTCCCGTGACAGTTTGCTTCGTGACAGATGGGTCCTTCTAGTCTGGCTCCAAAATCAGAAGTGTTCCACCTAATTCCCATGTTCATTCAGTGTGCAGTAAAATGAAGGGAGTGAGGAGCCAAGTGTAGATTGCATGCATTTTTATAGCACACTTGGTCAATCTAGCTTGTCTTGCTAGTGGGCTGTGTGCTAAGGAAAGCTGTAGTGCAACTTTCCAAGTCTGCAAAAGATTTGAATTAACCACATTATACAAATCTGCTCTGCTTTACAGAAGGATGCACATCAGGCTTCTCTGACAAGTGAGCTCTGAGACTGCATGTAAAACCCCACCATTCTTGCAGGCATTCCGGGTTGTGTTACTTTTCCTAAGCAAGGACACGTGCCAGCACCGGCTTAGTAGCATTCATTAAGTGTCCTCTGTCACACTCTAGAAAGAAAGGAAGACTCTGTCTTCAGAGACTGTCTATCCATTCTTAACCACTGACACTGTTACAAGCAACTCAGAATACATTTCATTGGTGTGATGAGGAGAAAATAAATGAAGAGGCACGGTTAGGATTGCAGTTGATGTTGTCAGCCCTGCCTGTGGCTGTACAGAGAAAGTGGGAGGAGGAAGGAGAACAAAGCCGGAAGCTGAGCCACAGGAGCCGTGCATGTCCTCTCCTCTCTGGTTACGTGGAGATGCTTGTGAGCCAGGCTCTAGTCTCACAGTGACCCTGTTCCTTCCAGCCTCCCCTGGCCCTGTCCTGGAGAGATCCACGGAGGAGCCAGGGGCAGCAGCACCTCCAGCACCTCTTTCCTCAGCAGGATTTCAAGGCTCAGCCCCTGAGGGACGATGCTGTTGTCAGAGGGAGCCCCTCACAGCCCCTCAGTGCTGCCTGATGGCCACAGGTTTGTGATTAGGAGCTCAGAACAGGATGCAGTCACGTTCCTCCAGACCCCAAAAGCTGTCCTTAGGATCCAGAATGTCTCCCGAACTTCAAATTTGTCCCTTGCTTACACTTTTGCATTGCAGAAGATTTATGTATCTTACTATTTTGTAGCAGTATTCCTGAAACTTCAAAAGATCATTTCCTGTCATTTCCTGACCTTTTTAGTCTTGATATGTAGCCATTTTCATAAACAGCTGAACAGATTATCATTCCCCTTTAAAAACAAACAAACAAAAAACAACAAAAAAACCTGGTGCTTGTGGAAATGCACAGCCCAAAGACAAATACCCTGTTACATTAAAATATAAATTAGTATGCCTGGGAGCATTTAATTTGCTACATTGTCTTAATTCACTAAAGAGACTACATCAAAATGTCAGTTGTAATTTAGCCTCTGATCAGCATTTAAATATTATTTAAATATTTACTGGTCCTCTGAGGTAGCTCTCTCTACCCTTGTCTCCCAAATAACATAGGTGATCCTAAAATGGAAAAAGAGGACATTAGCAGATTACAGCAAAGTTTCCACTGATAGCAGTGTGTTGGGTTTTGTTCAGTTTTAAAATTGCTAGCTGTCGTGCACACTAACACACTAATAGCAGTTTTGGACAGGGACAACTGTTAGCTCTCCCATCGGAGAAGCTGGACTGTCCAGTTGCCTTGAAGTATTGGGAGTGGTGACTGTAACTGCTCAGTTTAATTGGTTGGTGTTTCGTTTGACTGTTTTACCATGTCATTTTATAGCAGCATTTCTTAATGGCACTTTCTGTTGGCAAATGTGGAATTTCTTCAGTTAATTTTTTTTCTTTTGCCATGGGTGAAGAAAAACTCATTGGAGAAATGGTGAGTGTAAAAAAAGAAGAGATTTATTTTGTACAGACAGCAAAGCATCCTGTGTAATGTTGCTGACATAAAGCATTTGGGGGGGTGGAAATCTGTTTTCCATAAATCACACAGGCTTTTGTACATACTTATATACACTCACGTAGAGAAATGAACTGCATAGATCATACTGGATATGGGGCCCATTTTACTCTAGAGGCACATCTGGTGCTTATTGTCATAAATCTTTTAAAGAATTAGGTACACTTTTTTCTATTAATATGTATAGTTTTGTGATTTGTCACAGTTATGTTTCATATAATCATAAGTTATTTTGTCTTGTTTCATGAAGTTTTTTTTTTTTTATGTCAAAGTAAAATGAAGGGATTGTGCACTTGGTACAGAATAAAACTGGAACTACAGGATACGCCCTGCTGCCTGAAATCCTCCTTCAGCATGTTGCTTTAAGACACAATGGCAGCAACCATTGTTTGTTTGTTTGTTTGATTATTTTGTTTTGTTTTGCCCTCAGCCTCCTATGTATTGGGGATGGTAATTATAATTAAAAGCAGATGGGGGAGGGGGTCCAAGGCCAGCTTTAAAATGCCTCATTGCTTTGGGCCAGAGCCGCAGCCTGGATTTAATTATAGATATGAGGACGAAATGGCAGTAAAAATGAATGTCTCCCCGAATCCTTTACATGTTGGGAGTGTCCATAAATAAAACATGAAGCTTTATTTCATCAGATTTAATTAAAGCTTTTGTACATGTTTTATTGGTTATTCTATTAATCTGCTTCACAAACTGGATAAATGTGTGCTAGGGTTCAGGGTTTATTTGTGCCTTTTTAGGCTGGTGCTACATCATGCTTTAGAAATGCCACTGGTGTGTGTGCCCCAGGTGCTGGGGTGACAGCGAGCTAGCAGTTATAGGAGGGAGCTTTTCCAGCACCCAACACCCATTTTCCTAAAACCCTACAGAGAAAGACTCAAGCCTCAGCTTGCCAGGGGCCGGTTCCCTGACCTTTATAGTCCTCTCCCAGTGGAAGAAGAAAGGACAGTTTCCTTTCCGGTGTCCGCGCCTCACACCCTGGCTGTGCTGAGCTGCCTTCCTCTGTCTACAGGGAGGGGTCGGGTCAGGATGGTCTCACCTGGCTGGCTTCCTCCGCTGTCTCCAGAAGCCAGAGAGCTTGGCTCAGAGAGATTCTGGAGATAGAGGTGGAAACAGCACTGACTGACAAAACTTGAAGAACTCCTCGGCTTCCCAGAGGAGGCTGCTGGCAGGAATGTGATTTGGTCCAACCTCTTTGGCATTAAGCAGGAGAGTTGAAGGTGTACCTTCCCTGTATCCCAGAAATCCACTTCTCCGAAGAAACTGAAGTCAGTGATGGCTCAGATATAAGATGTTCATGGCACTGTTACTCAGTAATTGTCCCAAAGTGGAAATGACCCAGCTGTTCACCAACAGTACAAGAGATATCAGTGAGCCTCACACCGAAGTAACATCAGGAGTGACGTGCAGAAAGGCAATGACAGAACTACAACCACACACTAACTCAGAGCTGAGTCTCACAAATGGGGCTGAGAGAAAGAGTAACCTTTGTTAATGCATACACTTCAAAAACAAGTAAAATCCAACCATGGGATAAGTGTAGAGAACAACAGGGAGGAAGGACACACGGAGGACTCCTGGGCTTCTGAGGACAATGCTTTATTTCTGGGTCCAACTGTTAGGTTATACAGGTGTTTGCTATATAATTACCTAACTGCGCATATGTATTTTATAGTGTTGAGTTCAAATAACAGTGAGAGCCAAATCTTTCATCCCCTACTCTGAGGTATGCAAACTTGTGCAAAGAGCCCAGATGGCACATATTTTAGGCTTTGAAGGCTATCTGGTCTCTGTCTCAGCTACTCAACTGTGCCACCTGTGTAGCTCAAAAGCAGCCATAGAAGAGATGCAAAAAAATGGGTGTGGCTGTGTTCCAATGGAATTTTTATTTATGGATGCAAATCTGAACTTCATCTCATTTTCAGATGACATAGAAGTCTTTTTTTAAAAGTCCCCTATTTGCCAGGTAGAAAAATATCCATAAGTCACAGTCTGTACAAAACCAAAAAGGTTTCAGGCAGGATTTGGCACGTGGGCCGTAGTTTGCTGACTCTTGTCAATTGAAAGAAAATTCCCTAGCCCTTATCCCCTCGATTGCAGATAGCCTGTCTACTCGTTCTGCCACATTGGGTCCTTTCCTAGAGGACATTCATGAGTTCTATTGATTTAGTGTTTCTTTGTTCAGATCCTGAGTTCTGCTCCCTGGGATACAGGTTAATGCCTATAGCCTGGAGTACCATTGGACTTTATCTCCAGATTTAATGTTTTTAATAAAAGGAACTGGGCATAGAGAAATCTGAGAATTGGAAAATGAGCATCCATTCTTTCCAAGCTAACTAAATATTTGCTGAATCTTGGCAGGCACAGTCAACCTTATTCCTCTGAAATGCTGAGAGGTTACAAGCAATAGGAGACTTCATTTCTCTCAGGTCACATCTCTTATGAGAAGCTGGAACTGCCTCTTGTAACCTGCAGGGTGAGTCAAAGATGCCATGAAGGGCTGGGGCCATAGCTCTGGTATAGAGCATGTGCTCGGCACGAGTGAAGATCTGAGTTTTGTCCACTGAGAAGTGGTTTTAGCAGAGCCTGGCCCTGACAGTTCATCGGCCACCCTCCTGAACACCCCAACCATCCCCTGCCCCCTGGCTTTCCACAATGACCAGCTCCCTAATTCCCAAACTTACAGGCCTATTGGCCCTGCCCATGTTGCCTGTTGGCTCCTCACACTTTGAGGAGAGAACACATGGGCACAAGTGAATACCTATGTGTCTAGCTTGTTAATGAAGTTGGTAGTTTCAAAACTATGGTTATTGCTGAGTTCAGAGTCATTTGTCAAATACTACCTTGAACTAAATCCTTTTCAGCAGGTATTGGGGGTTTCATATGCTTGAGTTTGTGTGTTGTGTGCAGTTCTAGTATTAAAGCTCCAGAGAGCCTAGTATTTGGGGTAGAATAATTCAAATTTTAAAAAGAAGTTTAACCAGGAAAAAGTTAAGAACATCCTGTCCAAGCTCATCATTTCTGGAGGAGGAAATTGGAGCTCCTCATTCTTTCATTCATTTGTGCATTTATTCACATAGCCAGCCTTTATTTTATGTCTACTATGTGTAAAACACAGTTGAGTTGGCCCATCTTCACAGACCTAAAAGGAATTCCTAGAATTACTACCTGAAAATATTGCTTGGGGCTTGTTACAAAGGCACACTGTAGAACCACTCAATGTATACCACAGACCTACTAAGTTTGAATTCTTAGATGGAGGCATCTGCATTTTCAGTAAGCTCTACAGGTCAAGCTAAAATTGACCGCCTTTAATATAGTAAAGGCAAAGTGTTTCACAGGCTGTTAAGGGTAAAAAAAATTTCTCAGCAGAAGAAGAGCACCCAATTCCTGCCTGGGCAAATAGAGCAGTCACAGTTACCTGAAGAGAGAGTGGATATCTGAGCTAGTCCCAACGATGAATAAAACTTTTGAAAAATCAAAGAAGCAGAAGAAGGGAACGCAGGACACAGAATGGGACATGGGCAGAGCCAATAGGCAAGGGAAAGTCCCCCAAGCAACTGATTGGAGTGATGGAGGTGGACCCATGTCTCCACTCTGAATGTTTATTCTATACCCACTAGTGTGGAGTCACAGTCCTTTCCAGGCAGACCTGCTAAGTTCAGAGCACTGTTTCCCAACCCCACAGGGGATGATATTTTCCCAGTTATTCTCAGTTACTCTATAAAAAGGTATCCACACTATCTAAATAGTTCGGGGAGTTAGGGGTCCAAGTTGTATAATGCCTTTGTCTCAGGACCTCTCAGAGCCTTCCCTGTGCTTGAGGGTATTTTGATTCCAAGAGTGGGTGAGTCAGGGGACCCTCTTTCCAAAAAACCACCTTGTTAGTACTATGGAAACAGTTTAGTGGTTCCTTGAGAAGTTAAACATATCATTACCACATGACTCAGCAGTTCCACTCTTAATTCAGAGGAATTGAAAGCAGGGACTCAGATACAGTCATGAACCACATGATGATGGTTGATCAATGACAAGCCCTATGTCCAAGGGTGGTCCCATAAGGCTGTAATGGAGCTGAAAGACACATATCACCTTGTGACGTCTTAGCCACCACAAGATCATAGCACAATGCATTGCTTACATTTTTGTGGTGGTGCTGGTGTAAACAAAACAACTCAACTGTCTGTTGTATAAAATATAGCACATACAATTATGTACGGTACATAATGTTTCATAATATTTATGTAATTACTATTTTATCATTTTAGATTATACTTCTTATACTTATTCTTTTAATAGACTGTAGAACTCTATGCTGTGTTATGTTGGCAGCAGCCTCATACATTTTATGTTTACCGGTCTCTTACTGTATTCGGAGCCACACTGAGTGACGGAACTCTGCCATCTAGGTCTGTGTAAGCACATTCTGTGATGCTGCACCCTGACAAAATGTAACAGGCACAGTTTTTCTTAAGATGAAATTTTTCTAAAGGCAGAGTGATTATATTAGCACAGAATTGTGAATGTACTTAAAACCACTGAATTGTACAGTTAAAGATGGGGAGAATGGTAAATTATATATTGTGCATTTTTTACCACAACTTTAAAGATAATGCAGGCGGAGCACCTAATAGGATGGCTGACACCTGGTTGATACTGAAAAAATTCTGAAAGCACCTTGTTAGACCAGTGCTCCTTACAATGTTCTCTGTAAACATCACCTACTCTGGGGAGGATGGAAGTAGAGGCCAGGGAGGGTCAGCATTCACTCCTGGTGGTTGGAAATTATTGCTGCAAATGACTTCTGGTTTGCTGAAAAAGCAGAAGAGGCGGAGAAGCTGAGGAAGAGGTGGGTGGCTTGGAGGAAACTACAAGGGGCTTCTGAGCATAGCACGCTGGGCCTGCTAATGAAATCTCAGGAACTGAAGGAAAGAAAAGGAGGAAGGAAGGGGATGAGATGTCAGTGTAGCAAAAAGAAGAGGTAATAAGGGAGAATTCCAGAAGTATACTTGAAACACAACTGATCCTGATTGTGAGCAAATGCAGAGATTTGTCTGAATTTCATTGGTTCATTTAACAGTTGTGTACTGGGCCCCCTACCAAACACTATGTGCCAGTTACTATTCTAGGTGCAAACAATAAAACACAAACAGCCCTGTTTTCGTGGCATTACATTCTATTGGGCTGGCATTTCCAATTGTTTGTTCTGGTTACCTGTGAAGTATTGGAGTCTGGGGGCGCTTGGGTCCCCCAAGAAGCAGATGCTGCGAGAGAGTTGAGAGTGTCAGGGGTTGACTGACGTCATCCCTGAGAAGGGAACAGGCTAGACGGTGGAGTAGGCGCTGGATGCGCTCAGTCTGCAGTGCCAACCAAACAGACTCTTGATCTTGATGCTCCCTCACAAAGATTGCTCTCACCCAGTAGAAGATTTCCATCTTTATGGAAATAGCCAAGCTGTTGGGCATTGGAGGAACACACAGGTTGCCTCATCGTTATGTTTCCCAGTTTGCAATAAAGAACACACTGGCACACACACATAACACAACACACGCTTTTATTGAGGGAATTCAGCTTCATTCTTTCCCCTGCAGGGTCTGTCAAGCATATACACACAC